TACTTTCGCTTAGAACGTACAGGATCCGAATCCACGTAAAGCCCTAACAATACTGCTATTGACGGCGACTGGTCAACGGTTTATTTTAATAATATGATAGTAATAAAGCATCCAGCATATCACGCACGACGATATCAGCTCGCCGTTGCCGAGATCGACAGGCCCTATTTCACTAGGCGAAGTTCCTTCGAATTGCGTAAGCTAAAGAATATACAATAATAGCAACATGTAGAAATCGGTTTGTTTCAAGGACTGGACCGTTGGATTCTTTAAGTATTTCACTACTCGATAATTGGCATTTATGCAACTATTACCCGTGACAATAATAGGCTTATCGAATAGGAAAAAAAAATGGGGCGCATAGAACGGCGTACTAGTATATCGTGAAAATTTCGAGGCAGAGAGGCGATTTTTACTTGTATCGTCCAGCTCTTCAATGGACAGATGCGAGACTATAAGGTTGCCTTGTCTATGTAGAAGAAGCATCCACATTTTGGTGATAGAAGTATGTCAAAGCGAAGAAAATTCAGGTATATCTCAAGCTTTGTTTAATAACTGGTATTGCCAGGGGCGAAGAGAATCTCGGCCCATGCATAATGACCCGGAATGATGACTTTTGTCGATTATTGTGTACCGTAAAAGACAGGATTCAATCGGTCTGACCAACCGCGTCGTTTGGTCGATTGGGAAGCTCGATATGTCCTCCTGTAGCTGCTGTTCCTCTAGGGAACTCAAACATTCCAGCACCCTGCAGGAGTTTCGCACGGTATAATTCTTGAGATACGTGGCAGTGTGGCACTAAATAGATTACGTACACTTGTTCATGCCCGACATTTATAATAAAACAGATGGTTCGAACTATTACCTATTATTATTATTATTAGTATTTTAGCCTCCTCCTTAAATGCTCACTAAATCATGAACGTTCTCAGACAGCGTCACTCAGCCTAAATTTCTACGTTGAAATCTCTAATCAGAACTATATAATTGGGCAGCGAATTACAGAAACCTTGTTTTTTAAAGATCCTTTCAGTAAATATCGTCAATGTAAGTGTTTTTGTATATTTTTTGTTTTTGTACAGTACTACGGCACGTATAATGCTTAATCCCATACAACGATCCAGTGTAAAGCGAGAAAATCGCTGCTCCTGGTGCGTCGTCGTCACTACAATTGGTGACCGAAATCTGTATTGATATTTTTGGTACGAACTTTTCCACTAGTAAAATGAAGGTCAGATAAACGGCGGACGAATCTGCGAAGTCATACTTTGTGATGGAGCGTTTAACAGGGGGTTTGGAACAAGCCATGTTGGCACCGAAACTGGCCTTTCTTGGCTCCTCGAGACATAGGTAATGGATCGGGACTCTGAAAACAGCAGGGAGCGTCAACAGTTCGTCGCGTAAGCGTCTGTTCGGGATTAATTATGGACTTGTGCCAGGTCCAGCTCACTAGTGATTCGAACCCGTTTTGGGCAACAAGGCGACATGAGATAAGGCTAAGGCTCGTATGTTCGAGCAATTGCCACGAGAAGCACCACCTCACGGCGCAGAACATTATGGGTAAGTCCGGTCGGAAAATATGATGAAAACCTATACGTATTCATCAAGGAGAAACGATTTCTGTTGGAGCATGTCAGGATTGCCATTAGAATAAGAAGTTCTTAAGCAACGCAAGAAAACCGTGTCGGTGTTGCAACCCTGCGAACCACTTTACTGCAGCATTGCCGCCTGATTTCACGACTCTTGCGAAATCTGTAAGCGCCTATCGGATGCAGCCACGATGTGAATTTGAACCGTCGGCAAAGTCAGACGAAGTGCACACTGGGTTCACTTTCTGGCATGTAACGCCTTTGCTGAGCTAAGCATCGCAGTCTTAAGATCAGCCGGACTCGACGGAATAGTGTAGTGTAGAAGAAAGAATTAGATTTGGGTGCAGAGTTGCTGTTGACACACGCTATGGGTTCGGAAGACCCTAAGGCGACCGATATCAGGAGACTGCAATGTCCCGGAACAGAAGATTCTCATCTTAAGGGAATAGCTGAACTCGACGCAGAAGCACACCTTCGGGAATACATAGTCGTTAGCACGCTCCTGTTTCGAATCACGAGCGCTGTTGTAGATTGCGTAATCAACAACTGAGGTCACTCCGGGAAAACAGGCGGACATGCAGGCGTTGAAACAAAACTGGATACTTTACAGCGGATACTGATATGGCCCCTGGCATACACCCACAACTAAGGAAAGTAATAGCTTGATGTGAAGGGTGAAGGTTGCTAAAGTCCAAAGCCTTGCCCCAAAGTGCAAAACCTAGGGGGCGAGGGCATGTATTGCGATTTTTGTCACGATTCAGAAGTACCTTCGCTTAAAAAAGTGATAAGTTTCAGAGAACGCCGAAATGCGTAGCCTTAAGCGTCAGGGGGTGTAATCTCAACAGTTAGTTCGACCACCGAGGGTAGTTTTTCAAGGATGAACTAATCCAGAGCGCGAACAGTTTTGGACATATAATGGAACGCGTGCGAGGGCAAATTCTCAGGGAAGAACTGTTCCGGAGGGCGGACGGTTCTAGACTATATGTTGCAGCGCACAGGTGGATAGTCAACAATCTTGGATATGCCCGTCGTTTATGCTACATGAGGATGAGGTGTACAGCAAAAGCTGAATTAGTGTCAATACTAATGTGTCGCGACTAAACCACTTCAAATTAAATTGACTTTAATGATTCTATTGTCGCTCACATATTACTTATACCGCATGACTCTCAGGTAAGACTCGAAACGACGTCATGGAAGACATAAAAAATCCTAGATGAAGAACATATATGGAAGCCTAGCTCAGTCTATTGTTTCTAGTTTTTAGAAGCAGTTGCTCCATGAGTATAGCATAGTATGGGTTAATGCAGTCGTGAGGTGTCTGTCTACTAAACCTAGAAATACATTGTTGTCTGGGTTCGAAACTGGACTTTACCGTCGGGTGTAGCAGGCTTCCAGTTACCTTTTTAAAGCAGAGCAGTCGATCTGTGATTAATAACGAACAAATACACCTGTTTCCTGAAATGGCACACAATCATGTCTAACTGATTTTAGCGGAGATAAATTTGGATTGACCACTGCCTATCAAACGGAGCATTTCCCTTTTGCTGAGAAGTAGTTTCAGAGAATTAAGTAACAGCAGCGCATAGAAGTGGTCGGCTATCTTTAAGCACTGATTGGTTGAGGAAAGCGGAAGACCATTAACGTCGCCAAGGCGTTAGTAAAAGGCAATATGCAGAGTGGGAAGTTGGCGAGCTCGACGAGGGAGCAGCGCCAGATCGCTGCGGGCTCCATCGCGGAGCCTATCGAAAAAGAAAAAGAATTCTATCGAGTTGTTGAGAATAAACATTCAGAAACGTTTATCGTGTTGCCCACTTTGCAACTTTATGGGAAAAATATGCAAGCACCGGCGTTGCACGTGGCCATCTCCTATATAGCTCAAAGTGGGCTTTTACTTTTAGAGAGAATAACTAGCCCAGTTGCATTTAAACAATAGTGACTTCGCCACCTTGACTTTGTGTTATCACGCTGACTAGTGGAGTGAGCTCGTTTTCTTTAGCCAGTCTTCAAGCCAATACAGATCCACTTTACTTAGCGTATATGGAATTGTCAGCAGCCGAGGAAGCAGTTAGCAAGATAGATAACTTACGCGCTTGTTACAATGAAAAGCCACGCTGCGAATACATTTCTCTAATTAGCAATTATCCACTTTGAAGGCACAAGGATGTCTAGAACATAATTACATACCCCAGATATATTTGTACTTGCCATACATCATCCCGATAACTAATAAGTAAATGGTAAACAGTGAAACGAAGCAAAATAGAAACATTGAGCTAAGTCTAAGGTTAGATCTAAGTTAAAAAATGATTTCAGGATGACCATTCTCCAACTCAGAAGAGCAAGGACGTGACGGCCTCGACGACGACGAACGGACGTCGAGTCCAGAACACGTAAAGGATAATGTAAATTGGAAATGAGATCTATCATGCTTGCAGATACTCAAAGGAGAAGTAATTTCAGTTAAACTTTAATTATTATTTTTTTGCATTTTCATATAACTTCTATTTGGCCTTAGTGAACTTAGTGTACATTTTATTATTAAGTCTTCCGAATGCCTTGCTCGATCTCCAGTGCTTCAAAGTTGAGTATTCTAAGTGAAAATAACATATTTGCTGTAAACATGTGCAATGTTTTAAACTGAATTGATAATATGGACAGGGGCCACTTAGAATATATTGTGGTAGCTGTAGGAAGCCGGCTTTGTTCGCAGAGAAGGCGATTCTAGTTAAGTTATTGTTATAAAAAGGCTTAGTATGCATACCTACATGAAATAAGTCTAGTACCGTTTTTGGACCAGACTGATGGCTATGCTAAACATTTTTCAAAGTAATTGTTTCACAATGGCCACAGTGCATCGATAAAGGTCTTAAATTCTAATTTTTCTTCTAGAGAAGTTGCCGACTATTATCAAATGTAGTTTCAATGACTAATATAGAAAAGTGTATTTGTAACATATGCAGGTACTATGCTTTCTGAGCGACTGAGAACTTGCCACGTTAGTACTGAAAGGAAGTTCTGTTCACAGTTCGAACTGTGAACTACTAGGCCAACAAACTTCATAGAACTGTGGCTTTTGAACCAGAAATAACACGTTATAGTGATAGTTATAGAAATTCGACGTTGGGCCTGGGGGTGACGTTCGAAGTTCCACCTCGGACGCGATTTTAAGAAGCACTTTGACTCTTGGGAAACGAAAAGTAACCAGATTGTTAACGCTCAAATAATCAATCACTTTATCCGCGGCGATTCGCCGGACGGAACAAAGCAAACATCTCGCCTTCTGTATGAATGATCCACTCCATCTACACAAACACACGCGGGCCCCGCACAGACAGGAACATCAATGTGCTTTCTGCTGAGATCTGATCTCTCTCTCTATATTTTCATGAGATGGCTGTACCTACAATATCAAAACCAACAATCGACTATTATTTTCACGCACTCAGTACGATGACGATGAAATTCTAAGTAAGCTGAAATCATGCGTTTCTTGTGAGGAGTCTCATCCACTAAAGACTGACTGTTGTTGTAAGCGCACGCATTGGAACATTCGCTTCCGTTTGCATCTGTAGCTCACTATCCAAAACGTACGTATTGGCTGCACGCATATGCTAACAATAGCATTAAAGAGAATTTGCGTTACGTCTTAAGAGACAAAGTGTCGCAATATGCTCAACCTAAACATAGGATAGTGCTCTATTTTTTGTCCGTGTATTTTCATGCAAATGTGTCTGATAGCAACACCGGACGTAAAAGTCGTAACATTTTCTTTAATTGTATGTATAAAAAACTTTATCTTTTTCAATACCCTAAACGAAATATAAATTAAATTTCGAGCACCGAAAGCATTCGGCCAATTTAATATATGAAGGATACGTTCTATCGAATGGGTATCTGAATACTCTGTTCCGGCTAGCTACACCATAGGAATTACTGATTCGTCCGATGGGAGCGATTTACTTTATTAACAAACCGCTAACCTTTCGTTCTTGTTTACGCATCGCCGATGCGCGGTTAATGAGCTAACTTGACAACGCTTTTACGTTAACGAAAATATGGCTAACGTTAGAATAATATATGTAGTGTAAAGGCAGAGCAAAGAGTGCAAAAAAATAGGACCCGACGAAAAGTTGCACGCATCAACAATAGCATCTGGTGTATAGGAAAGATAAAACAAAGTAGGATAATTGCAGGCTGTTTTCTTCCGACGAAAACACCGTGCATCGTCGGTGATTCCCTATTCTCTTATGAGACGTTATCTATTTGCGTTCCGACTAAGTCAACGGAGCATCCAGAGGCTTGATAGCGCATTGCAGTTCGTAAACGATTAAAAAAATATGTACAGTTGTTCCTATGGAAATGTTTAATAAGGATCATTTTAAAAACGCTACCTTAAAAGGTGCCCGTTATCCGATCATTCTCCTCAAACTCCCCCTAGAGCAGGTGATAGCATGACCGATACATGGTTGACTCCTTGTCTATGTACATCTATTACATATGAGTCATATTAGTTTCCAGCAAGCGCTGCATATAATAATGGCAGCAAATGCATACTGATATGCTATAGCTTGCTTTGTATGATTATCGTATTTGGAAAAACTAACGAAAAATGAACCTATTCAGTGTGGCACTCACAATGAGTCAGTCGTGACTAGTCGCGGTAAATTATATAAAAATAAGTCGTTGTCCAGAGGACGTAAAACATAACGTCTATATAGAGAAACAGTTGTATAACCCCTACAACTGCGTCAAAGGCCGCAGTTCGTCCTTTCTTTGCGATTACATAAAATTCTCGCGCCTAACATACAGAAACGCTAAGGTCTAGCCTCATCTACCATGGACGTATCATTTTTCGATATAGGGGAACAATTGAAAGTCACGAGACGTAACTGTCGCTCAAAACAAAACATCATTGAGAAATGTCAGTTACACAGTTCGGCTTACCGGTACTTCTTTTAACATAAATATATATACAGTGCACCAAAACAAATAAACCATATGCCAAAAATAATATGCCTTATTATCTTGTGGATTTTTTACCAAAAAAAAAACACTTTATCAGTTCATTCGAGCCAATCGGTAAAATCGCCGAGGGATTTCACCACAAGAGTGACAAAAGCAGACCAATTATCTGTGCTGTACTATATATAATATATAGAACGCATTATAAATTAGTTCTATCGTTAGCTTTTAGCTATATACAATACATGTGATGCATAGAATTCCTGAACTGATGTAAAATATCGGATAAATTAATATTCCGATGCCCGAAGAACGGAGCCGACTCGCTCTAATAACTTTTAGGCCTCCGAATGCACTTTTCCGTTCCCGGCCGGTTACTGCCGCGTACCCTGATGAGCATGATGTCATCCTGTGCGTAAAGAACACATGGTGTCAAGGAAGCACCGTATCAGGTATCGCGACGGTGGGTGTATTTGAGATCCAACCCCCTAAAGGCCGCCTCCTTTAACCTAGTTGACTCGAGTGCTAAAACAAAGAGTGTTTTCTCTGAGCTATGAGGTAGCTGTCGTTTTGGCTCCGCCCCTGGACCCGCCCAAGGTGTAGGCTCGCGCATGCGCTATTCCGAGTCTCTGTGAGGTTGAGGCCTACCTTGCGATCCTTGCCACCGCGATGAGGGTAGGATCCCTCGTTGCCTCTCTTACATCTCAGTACATCCTCGTGCTTACCCAGTGACCAACTTGTGCAGAACAGGACACGTTTCAGTGAGAAGCTGTTAGAGAGTGGGCTAGATTGTAATACTGCGTAGCAGAACGGCCAAAAGTGACCGCTTTAATTTGCCGGTCGTAACCTATTATTTAGTGCAGTGACAGACACGTGGAGTGAGTGCGCGTTTACCGGAGCATCTTTCAAAGTGTATAGTATCTAGTAGAGAAAAGTTGCACCAACCAGCTCATGAGACCGCGAGTCTTTGACAGAAAATATAAGAAATTGACGCTTGATCGAAATTAAAAAATGATGATGAGCTTTGAGGGTCGTGTACCTGGTGTTCCAGAGGATGGCGGACAATGCCAAGGAGCGGGTAAGTTCTATTTTCTTAAATTTGTTCTCCTCAGATTATGGTTATTAAAGGACAGCGGAATTACAAGAAACTGAGCATTTTTCCTTTTTACAGTAATTCACGAGACGCTTCTTTGGTTAGTCAAGAGAAGCTAGTAATTACGCATAGCGGCTATGTTAATTAAAATTATGGGTTTTTGCTAGGTGCGTTAAAACCGTCGGAATAAGTAGGAATCACACATAACGAGGAAGCGCTTTTGTCAAATACTGCTTTTCCATAAGGACGTGATAGTTTGGAAACATTTTGGCTTCTTTTGTTCTTACAATGCGGGTAAGGCTTGTCGTTAGATAACAAATATAGTGAAATATTGCTGCCACAACAGGCGCAATAAACAACCAATGAGAATCATAAGTTACAGTTTTCACTGACAAAATACATGCTTTGTCCCACCGTGTCAAGCAGATATTCAGCTCTCTTTTAAGAGTCAGCCGACATAGCTACTCATGCAATCATCGTTCAGGCAATCTACAATCGCATTAGTATTAGCAGTAGTAGTAGTAGGTTGGATTTGTATTTACGCAGTCATCCAATGGTGAGAAGAACAGATTTTTTCGCCCAGGCCGCTTATGAAGACACAGTGAACTTCTTTTATATGAGATATATAGATTATATGGAATTCTATCTGATGCATCGAAGAAATTCAATGATACCTGTCATGGTCAATCTCAATCTGACAACCAGTAGAAATGCCATAGTGTATAACAGCGCGCTTCGCTGTACCCCGTAAAGACGGTACCGTAAATAAACCATAAATAAATTCGATGTGATTTGCCAATTTGGTTTAAGCACAGCGGATAATCTTTACGCACAGACAAGGGCTGTTGCTGGGGCGAGTGCGCGAAACGGTTCGGCCTTAGCTGCGCTAGAATATTAACTCAGAATACTACTTACTTAATTTATGTGCCTATAAGATAGCATAGGGAATGGTGTAAGTAAGTTCATGTTACGATCAATCAGGAAGCCAAACAATACCACGGAAAATTTATCCAAATATTGGCATTTGTCGTTATATCAGCGCTCCTCTCACCATAGCGCGTCACTTTCTTCCAAATAAAAAACCGTTTTGGCATCTTTTTTTGTTGGTGAAATTTCCTCATTCAAAATTGCGCGGGGAACGACAATTATGGTAACTGCGGCAAGATATTTGTTTCTTCACCCCAGCACTTGCCTGTCTTATTTGGGTACGCTTTACGGATGCCCCTCGTAATACCCAAATAAGGGTAACAACAGCAACAAGAAGACACATAAACAACAGGAGTCAACATTTTATTCTAGAAAATTCCCTAAAGCTCTAAAAATATCTATTGCTAGTAAGCTTGTATTTCAAATAGCTGAGGTAATATGTGTCTATAAATGTAATTCTAACGATACAACTCGATGAGAAACACTTGTCTCTAGAACTTTTGTTCGATGCAGGTAAGGAAAACTGAAAGCAATAAAGAAAGAGGAAGGAACCCAATATCAGAAATTTCGACCCATTCTATACTTCCGAACGATATATATATATATATATATATAGTTACATAACATACTAATCAAATATAAACTGTCCGTTGAGTAAGTCTCCCGATAAAATGCAAGATAGACCGAAGGACTCACTTAAGTGAGTCACACAGTCTGATCGAATGAATTATGCGCATCGAATGGACAAGCATGGCTTACCCGAACACCCGAGTCCGCAGCTCGGCCTCGGGTCCTTTGGCTCGTAAGGTTCTGCCGGCTCACCACTCCTTAACGTTTAAATGGCGCTAAAAAATTAAGTATCAACTTTCGTTCTAACTTCGTCCGTTCCGAGAAAACTTATTCACCGACTGCATTTCAATTTGGGCAAACCCAATGTTTCAGCTGAATTGTTCTGAAGGTTATTCTTAATTCTAACGAAGTAATCGTTCTGGCCGTATCGATGAGTCGCACTAAACCACTCCGCGGCAGTTAAGTCAGAAACCTTAAATGCGGCAATATGAGTTTTTACCAGTCAAGAAGTGTGTACTTCCAGTAGCAGGAAAGCTTTCTTGGCAGATCCCATCATAGAGAGGGGGAAAGTGACCTATTTTGTCGTTGCAGAGGATTGATACATTGACTTTTGGCCGAAGGTATGTCTCCGTAACATACTTGTTATCAGAAACTTGTCGTGACCTTTATGAACTTACAGAACGTTTGTGTTGATAGCTAAATTTGTAGCCGTATGATTTCTCCCAATTTCTCTCCCGTAGTTATCAACTGCACTGCCCTAGACTGTTCGGCATCCGCTAATCCACCTTTATATATGTATATTGGACTTTTATGAATGAATACTAACCTCTCCCAGCTCCATTGTATCCAAGTTTTTTCGCGTTTGGTACAGATTTGCAAATAAATTTTCTTGTGCTTTAGACCTTCGACACAACCCAGTGGTCAGGTGGTGTTTACTATACACAAACAGAGTGTTCCAGTTGAACGCGTAGAGTGTACGCGTTGAACGTATTTTACGCGATTAGTGTGTGTGAAGGCTTAGATGGTACCTTATTCTATGTGCTATATTAAATAGATTTTTCATTGCACAGTAGCCTAAATTGCGTGAAGTCTACTGGGACTGTCAAGATGTGGGCACCTTCCATTTTCATTTACTCTTTGCCTACCATTTTATGACGTATCTAAAGTTCGAACGTTGGTTGACGATTTAACACAGGAATCATGCTGCCGTTTAATCCATCGTTTGACTATCGATCAATTTCAAGTCAGCTCTTCCAGCCAGTGAAAGATGAAAGCCCTCTCATCGCAGGCGAAACACAGGATGCAGCCTGTCAAGATGATAACCATGTTAAGAGGCCAATGAATGCGTTTATGGTAAGTAGAAAAAGAAAGACATGATTCCGAATCAGTTTCGTATAAGTAGTACGTACGACAATGTTCTCTTGCCGATGTACACGGCTCACAGGCGCTCGGTGTCATCTTTGCTGAGATATGAGCAATAACTGAAACTTATCTGAAGTATTCTGTCGATGTGATTCTGAGGTATTCACATTTGTGTATCGTCTCTAGCTAAGTAGCCGCAGTATCTTGGTAGACGGTCAGTTCGATTGCTATGGCGGTTATTTTATACGCAGTGCTCTAGCAATCCATTAGTAAAATCCAGAATAAGAGTGAATTTCTTATCACGAGCAAGAACATATAGTTTGCCTGTTGGAGCCTATTGAATAACATTAGACCTCAACTGTTCTTTTTCTCCGTGTAGGTATGGTCCCGGGCGCAACGACGTAAAATTGCGTTAGAGAATCCAAAGATGCATAATTCGGAGATTTCCAAAAGACTCGGAACTGAGTGGAAGCGGCTCTCCGAGGCTTCTAAAAGGCCGTTCATCGAGGAAGCTAAAAGACTTCGAGCACAACATATGAGAGAACATCCCGATTACAAATACAAGCCAAGAAGAAAACCAAAACCAACGATGTCATCTGCCTCGGCTGATCGTGTGCCCGCCATGGTCAAGAAGGAAGTTTCGCAACTTATGCCTCCTTTCTACGAATACCTATGTCTACGCGATGAGGATAAAAGGCTAGCACCTACATCCACTCTTCCACCTTTTCTTGGCCGATTATGTGCCCCAAACACCACGACTGACCACAGGTTAATATACGTGCGCACGATATAATTCTCTGTCAAAAAACAAACCACAAGCTGATCGAATACGAATTGATTTTTCGTACTTTTTTCTGTAGCGATACGATTTATGGAGGAAAATAGAATGCATAATTTATCGGCAGGCGTAGCGCGCGTATCTAAGTGATTTCTTGATAGGTGGATTCATTGAAAAATTATAATAATAAACTTTGTTTTTATTTTGAAAAAGCGACTTAAAACTCATCCAGTTCAAGGCAAAATGCAATGCTATATTATTTTCGTCAATTTTATCGTCGTCGACTATTTCAAGCTTTGTCTGGTTAACGGACATTTGTTCCTTTAAGATCTGTTTTCTTAAAAAATATAGATACTTTCCGAACCTTAGAAAATATTTTCCAAAATGGAAATTATACGCTTGTAACTTTCCGAAATCTATCTAGTTATTATTTGTAGTAAAAACTGCAGCGTTTTTAGTTTAATTCAGCTAGATAATTTAGCACAAATAATAAATAAATAGTGCGATATGCAGACAAGTTTATAACACCAACGTTACTGAACTGGGGTGATCAGTAACATTAGTATTCTAAACAATTTAAAGATATACCAAAACTTTATTTTTACAGAATTTATTACTAGATAAATAACCAGTCAAATCGGAGATAATCAGAAGATGAAATCATATCTTCTATCTAAGGATGTGCGAAGCATCGAAAGACTCACATTAGTTGACAACTTATGATTTTTTCGTTATATATATAATAAAGATCTTACCACACGGTATATATGCCCTGTGGTATTGATGGCGACAAATCGTTGATTACAAGGCGCGACACAGTTAGGTCACTCTTAAGCTCCAGAAAAACGATAATATTAGGTAAGCAGGGCGATGGTAATCACAGTTCACGTATAGTTTTTGAGATATTTCTTATAATGATAGGGGAAGAGTTCGGTTGTTTCAACCAAAGGGGCATTCCAGGGAACGCCTCAGATCTGGCATATACCGCCATGTAGCAGTTATAGTGAAATAGAAATCCACTCACCACTGACTCGATTTCGTTAATAATTATGTATACATAAGCGACAAACACTCTATTTTTATTGACGTATCAACGAATCCATTTTCAGAGTGCCGTCTCCAAGAGACAATCGCTCTGAGGCTGACCAAAGCGATTTTGTCAGCGGCGCTCCTATGTCGAGTTGTCGATCAAGTCCTTATAATGGCGCTGCACTGTACTCGTCGCCATGGGGGGTGCAATCGTTAGGACCACGCTCCCCACACTCACCTAGCCATTGTAGTTCACCTATTTGTAAGAGTCAACACCATCCAAGCGGCAATCCGTTATCTGTGAATCACCATCAAACATCCCAGTTACAGCAGCCGCAACAACAACATCAAACACAGCAGAACGCGCACTCGAATACAGCATCAACGGATCAGATCGTTGCAGCTCATCAACTATTGCAGGTCTGTGCGTATTATCAATTATTCAGTTTTTCTAAACGTTTTGTTAGACTCCTATTAGAAAATCACGGCAATTAGCGTAGCGGTGTGTCCTCTCGCTGACTTCACTGCACCCACTCACGCATCCCTTATGTTGAATTGAATGTTTTCATTAGTGTTTTCTGTTTATATCAGTGTTCCTCGAACGTATGTACTTCTGTCATATTTGAATATAGTCTGCTCGTACTGTACACTCTCCTAACGGTTGCTTTGCTTTGCTTCTTGTGAAAAGCTCTTGTTCTACAACTTTGTTTTCCTTTTTCTGTAATCTTTCATACTATAGGGTTTATATTCGTCAGCACTACATCGAGCTGCGCTAGCTGCAGCGTCCGTGGCCTCAACGCCGCTTCCACCTTTGTTGCCAACCCTCAATGGCCTAAGTGGTCTTGGCAGCTTGAACGGATTGAACCCCCTGAACGGCCTTGGAGGGCCGCCACTAGGGTTGTCACTTAACCCCCTACTGCTCAATTTTCACGCTCAACCATTAAACAGCATTAGTACTGCAGCCCCAAATGGAGGAGGAGGCGGCGGAGGAATGATAGTCGGAGGTTCCTTGGTAGCAGGAACACTGCCAGGATGTGCGGAAATATTGAAGAACGAAGTGCCGGCAAACAGTTGCCCCACTGGAAACGAATCACCATTGCCGATAGTTCACCGCCCTACGGATAATACAGATGAGGGCAATATTGGACAGCCACAACTGTTGAACAATAACAATAATAATAATAGCAACAACAACAACAACAACAACAACAAAGACATCACAGATAATATTGGGGATGACGACGGGCTACCCTCAACGACTACAGTCGAGGTAAGGATCAAAGGTAGATCTAATAGTTACAGCCACCATGCATAGATACTAATATTTTTAAGCTTATAATGCATTGAATACGCTACAAAAAAAATCGACTAGCAAAAAAAAAAGCTATCTGATTCCATACCTTCCCGATGTTGGAATTCATACTAGCTAGCACCTTAGTATTTCGAGCTAAATCAGAATGTTTATATATTTGAAAAGATACTGTAACGTTCGTGCTCAGAATGTGGGTGGAGGTTTAATAAATATATCGCAGGTTGATATCTCGTAAAATACAGACCTCAAGTGAGCATACAATTATAAGGTGCCTGTTATAGTAAGTTATGATCGTCTTTTTTCAGCCGGTCAATTAACGGCTTTTTTTTTGTATTCAACACACTAGCGGCTTAGGCAGTTGCGTCGATAGTTAGATACATACAGGACAGACTGTTTTCAGGGGCATATGTTGTACCTAATTTTATAGAATTAAACAATCGAACGGCACGGAAGCGCCTGCCCACGGAAATTGGGGCCAGTATGGGCATTAAATTTGTAACAAAAAATTCCACTGAGTACTACATTGTTATATACTGAATCACTGGCGTTTATCCTCTTGGTTCTCCACTACCTACGGCGAAGTCGTCCGCTATGTTGAAGTGGGACAAATCGTTACTGTCCGCTGTCTTTTCTTATGGAAGAAGATTATTTGATTTTGAAGCTCCTATGCGTTCTAGGAAACGGCGGGAAGTCTGCATGAACTTCGATGGACGGTACAGTCAGCACTAACCAGTGTTACTTCGACGATTCTCGTTCGACACTTCCGGCTTTAAAGTCGACAACAATTGCAAAACGATTGCCCAAACTTTGTTTAAGTACTCACCATATATCATTCGCTGCTTGCGTACAATGGCACTCGTTCCTCAGTTCGCATTTAATAGGTCGTTCAACAGCAGCAAGTCCAAGGGGCAGGACTTGTCATCACATTGATAACACAGTCTGAATAGGTTTTGAATGGTGTCGCTATAGTGTGTGTATGTGTGTATTTTCTTTGTCCCTCTTTTTTTGTGAACTGGTGGTCGTGTCCTATAGTACCGGGATCAAGTAAGCGGCGGTTCTCTCTTTGGTCGAATAGGAACCTGTAGGCTGCCAGCAAAAGGTGTAGGCAATAGTAATGCCAGTAGACTGAATAGACTCAGCAACTGGGCGCCTAGCAGACAGGCGGACATATAGAGACAGACAGAGAGGCAGCGGTGGCGGAGCCGCGATAACACATCACTCTGGCTAGAGCAATGAGGCGAGTGGCCTCAGGAGACGCCGAGAGTTGTATGTGCGCCTGTGATACCTGGGGTAGAGCTGGGGTCGAGGAGACAAGCCAGCCCTCTGTAGCGTCCTTTGCGCTTCTGTTTGGACTCTTCTTCACCATCGTACTAGAATCCCAATTGAAAAATCCACTCGAAAAAGGGCGAGGAAGAAGACGGACAGAGAGAAGGAAAGACGGAAGAGGAAAAATTTTTTTTTACATATATATTAGAGAAAGAGAGCAGGCCAAAAAGTAGAAGAATGAACCTACTACTCTGCTGCGACAGCCGTTAGTAGGACAGAAAAAAGAATATAAGGGAGAAGTGGAGGAGGAAAAGGACAGAAAGAAAGAAAAGAAAGGCGAAGCTCTAGGACAAGATGCAGGAGAACAGAGGATACAAGGAGGCAAAGGAAGGCTGGTACTGTTACAGCTACTGCTGCTACGCATGGTGTAGCCATTGCTGCGTGTGCTCCACCAGACGCTGTATTTTCCCTAAAGGGAGAAGAAAAGGGAGCCAGGTAACAGTAGTTGAATGAGTGTTGAAAGGAGGTTGACTCACCTCAGACTTCCCCGGCCAGGGCTTCTTTCTCACCTTACTGGAGTGTTCGCAATTGTAAGCAGCGTTGCCTCTGTGCGATCACTCGCGCACCGAACCCGAGGTCTTCCGAAAGGAGTTTTAGTTCACTACGGCTACCGATCTTCCTGTCTGATTCCGCCCTGTGCGCACGGAGCCTATGTGCGTGTCTCTGTAAGACGAGTGAGGACCTTTAAAGGAATTTCTTTCCCTTCGGCGGACGGCTAACCTGCTATATTGTGTCGATGACGCCTCGCATGTGTACTGCCGTTTGCACAATGAACAAGGAAGCCCCGTCAGGCCACTGTAGACCGACCGTGTTGCTTCGACACCCAGCACGACCCTACAAACGGACTACAAAGCTACAACTGAGAAAATGGAATGAACAGGTGGGGATAGAGAGGTGCGGTCAGCGAAAAGCTACTGCAGCCATAACGATGATACGGATGAGCGGCGAGAACGAAAGACAGGCCTTTGTTAAAAACACTGGCTTCAAAGGGTTTGAAGTAAACCATATCTAATCGGTGAGCACGACACGCCTAACAGATGAATCTCTTCCTTCGCCTATTTTTTTGTCGCTTTCAAATAGACAACATGAGTTATTCTCTGCGCAGGCTTTCTAGCATAGCTATCTTTGCAGTAGCAATGATAATATACATGCATGCATGTATAACAACAGTCGCTTAATAAGCGAAAGGATGTAATCTTTTAAGGAGAGGGATTTAGATGTACTTTCTGTCTTCGTCAGGAGTGGATAGTTCATTCATATAATAAAAAAAAGACGAATTTCCCAGATGGGCCGCGATTTATCAACTTTTGCTTCTGCAAATCCTTTTTCACTGTATGGATAATACTCGCATCGCTTACTACGGTAAGTGGATATGAGCATTAAGGTCAACTTGTCTGGTAGTTCGTTCAGTCGGTCTGGTCTGAAGTGGAGGGAGGGTGGCCAAGCAGACGGCGTCAGGGAAATCATATCGTACGCTCGGCAATATTCGCAATGTGTGCAGGCAGAGACATAGTCTCTATAGATCCTATTTGCTACAATGATTATGTCGCGAAAGTAAGCGAGGAACCTGTGGTAGGCAAAAGGAAAATGAAAAATAATTCCTAATTTATCGCTGAGTTACAGTTGAACCTGTCAAAGGTGACTATTACCGTATTCTATACGCGCAACTGTCTATCAAGACATACGGAGGCCTATTATGGACATGTTGCGATAAGTTTCGCCTCTATTTTAGTAACGATTATAATTGTTATTGTTATTATTATAAACATATTTTAAGTATTTGTGGATTTTGCGTTTTTTTTTCCAAATTTATTTTTCCTTTTAAATTATCAGGGACTTGTCATACAGGAAACTGGAATATTATATTATACTCGGAAATACCTATCTAATAGCGGCTTCTGCATCTGTTCAATTTAATTCCATTTAGTTACCTTCTAAAAAAGATACTACCACCATGTGCAGTAAAAGTTTCTAGATTCAAAAAAGGGCTTATTAAGTAAGACAGTTTACACAATTACTGGTTCGGGCTAATGCATCTATAGCTGCGACCTTATTTTGAAAATCATCCCGAAGTTTATTGGAAAATTTGTCAACGTTTTATTAGGTCCTATATCTGATGCAGCTCATTCATGCGCTTGATTATTCCTTTGAATATTGCACCTTTTGAATACAGGTTTTGTACAACTAAACTGTGAAATACTCTACGTTATTCAATGCTTTTTTTTAACTATAGCTACCATATCGCGAAACGGGACGACAATAGGACAATTTTGCTCAGGTTTATATAAGATGATTTGTTTTTCTATATCACGGACGGTAAAGTGTCATACGACTCTGCCAAAAAGTGGCCATCTTTCTAAAGAAGACTGACGAACATAATAGCGATAGTAGTTGTTATGAATGCTGCTTGTGGACAATTTTTGAAGCTGTCGTATACTGATTGGCGAGGGCACTCTTAGATCTCTCTGAGATGTTAGATAAGAAGGCTCGCTTCGATCCGACGTACTACTTTTACTCTTCGTGGCGGCTAATGGGGGTTGCAAACGTCTTTTTTATCTGTCGTTTCTGTGGTTGGAGCAGTTGTTTAGTGCGTCAACTACAGCTTGCCGGAGAGTTTTCTTCGAGAAAACCTGGAGTAGGAGCAGTGCGGGTTACTGATTGCTTTATGTTCTGACGTCGCTTGATTTTGCGTGTGATGTCAGTCAGGCCTCGGTGGCGTTGGGTATGCCCTGTCAAAGAAACCAGGATTCCCTTGAACGTTGAAGCGCATTCTTCTACATAAATTGTCTCAGGAGTTGGGAAAAGTCGCGTTGAGAGAGAAAGAAACGGAGAACGTTTCTGAAGTGGTGAGCAACGGGATTTAAGAGCGTTAACAGTTTTATAGATTTAGCTGCATTTCCAGAGGAATCTGTCATTTAAACTAGTGAACTTCGCTCATTATGAACTACTTCATTTGTAAATTCAGCTTTGTTCGCTTTCTGATAAAGATACTGATAACGAGCACGATGATTGCTGACGCTGGGAAAAACACACTAAACCAACAGATTTATAATGTCAATTTTTTTTATAGTCGGGCCTGCCTTATTCCATATGCGCTATCGTCGGTTTTCATTGTGGAACAATCCCATTACCGGGATGTTAGTTAGCACTGGTATCCGTTCACCGCAACGAACTTGGATGTTATGCTTTACTATACTCGAACTAATTACAGACCTTTTGTTTTTATTGTTTTTTTTTTCTCACAAATAGTCAATTTATCGTATAGAAAACAAGGACAATTCGCGCTGCCCGTCTGGAGTTGAATTTTCACTTTTATACAGTTATTCAGTTTTACTGAGTTAAATGATTGAGGAAATGGCAGCAACAAGAATGTTGAAGATCGAATTCAGCCGCTTCGTCGTTATGTATCATGGGCCGGTGCTTAAGCTACTACCGGCGGAAATAAAAAGCTATGGCGAGCACTTCAGTTGGGAAAGTTTTCAAGCTCTACTGTGCGCTTTTGTCTGTCCATCGTTAACTTAAGAATCATTTGAATATTATGGATAACGACTTCAGCAGAAATCTAATTAGTAAGTTTATTCCGATACGTCCTTGGCATCAACTTATTACGGATGCATATATGATGACGATGGCGCTAAAACTAATAAATTAGTTTTAAATAAATTAGTCACTATACCGTTTGAGTTTATTGGAGGAATGAACTTATCAGCCCAGTCTAGAGCAACTACCAACTGCGGCCCTGGCGATTTTCGCTGCAATTTCTTCGGACAGAACGTCAAATCCGTTATAGTGTATCCTGTCTCGAGGCATATTGCGCGTACCATTTACGATATGGAAAAGATACCCGAGCAAAATTTTAACGTTACTAAGTTTTACCCTTGGGCCTATCACTTATGAGAAAGCATAGCTCGTAAGTTCCAGTTAAACACCAGCTCAATAATTTATTGCATATTCTTTTATTTGTCATTGGTTTTCAGGTGTAAAGTTCGGCCTCTCTTGTTGATTTTGTGTACTTTGATTAGGCCGAAAAAGTGCGTCGGTGTATTTGACAGGAAGCGCACCTGGCAGTCTAATGCTAAGGACTCGATAGGATGGCCGTGAATCTACTCATGGTGCACCTAGTCATTTAGCGTAGACCAATAAAAGTAGTACCGTACTGATTAGTATCATATCTGATGTCGTTATTTTACCTAGCATAACCATAGCTATAGATAGTTTGAGAGATTTTAGGTAATAAATTTAACGTGAAACTTTCGTCACGCCATGTGTCGATGTTCCACGACGATACTGATTGGTGTGAAACGTAAAACAAAACACTATGTTTCTGAACTTAACTCTAGGTAGAACTATTCTAAAACCTTGAAAACACTTCTCCACGAGCCAAGTTAAAGCCAGTACCCTCCTATGTAGGCAAGCTCTCGAGCAGAAAGATAAGTACGCCCACAAATTCGTAGGAAGTTGGTACCACATCTTTAACACTAGCGAACTGTCCAACCAATAAAGGTGTCTATATTATGTAATTGTTTTTTGTTAAAATTAAAAGCGTTTTTAGTTACTGTGTGTTATACAAAAGCAAGCATCATGTAGCATACAATGAATTAAACAAAAAAGCAGATATGCCGTGTTCTGAACGTCACTTGGTACATTTTCTACGATTATCATGAGCTACGAACATTATAACATACCCTTTATACAGCTGTGACAGGGTTCGAACAATTTGCGTCTAAGATATCGATGATATGGGAAACTGATCAGGTTAAATCAGAACAGCTGCGAGAAAAACTGTTCTTGTAGATTTCCAAGTAAAGCTCTATTTATAGCGCGTAAGGCTTGTTTATTAATAACTCAAAATATAAAAAAAATTGTATTTGTTTGTGCTCTATATGATATGTGTATATATGTTGACGGACTAAAGTCCAGAGTTGCAGAAACTTGTATACGGAGGCCACCTATATATTCGATATTAGGCATCCGATACGGTAGGAAACATTATAATCTAAATTCTATAGTGAAGATTTAGGGCTGCATTTTTCAACAATACACATTCTTTATTTGATTCCGACTTCCCACACCCGAGCGCGTTAACAGCATGAAGGCTGTCGTATTCGCTTCTGAGATTGAAAAGATACTAGATTATCTGCTTATTCTAAATCCTTGACCTCAGCTATAATATATTGTTGTAAATCAGTTCGAAAAATAACATCAAACAAGGAATTAATATAACTTTTCTACGGGATACTAGGTAGGGTAGGCAGCAAGAGACGTTAGCATGAAACGAGCCAGCAACTAGGTAAGCGGAAAGCCATTGTAAAATAGATCGGTGGATATCCAGGTCAACCTATTTCCCAAGTAGGATCCCATGATCAACTCTATCAATTTGGCAAGATCAACGCGGTAATATGGCCCACGACCCGATTCTAAGTCGCTTTGAACAATTGCAATGGGCATGGTGGATAACGAAGCCTTGTAGGGCAGGATCCAGTAGTTTACTTTTGGAAAAATCAATACGTAAAAAATGTAACAGGCAATCGAGTACTGGAAAACTAAGCGGTAATTTTATATATTTAATTTACAAACTTTTTTGAATATAGCTGTCACAATAAATTGGTGGAAAAGGTTTAGGATGACACCATGATAAGGTCTGTGGATCTGTAAGAGTGCAAATGAAGATCATGGGTCCAACATCAAAAAATTCTGTAAAAGAGAGGCGGAATATTCGCCAAAGTAAGCCTTGCCTTGCCTTGCTTTGAGTTGAGACAGCAGCTTAAATATGAGGTTCACGGATATCGATCTGGAGGTCAAGCTTAAATTCCGTAAGGATCCTAAGCGTTGTCAGTTTCGTAAAGTGGAGCCAGTGCCACGATATGAAGAGTAGCTTACAAAACCATATAGATGAGCAATACAATTTCGAATAGAACACTAAACGAATCATAGTCTACCTAAAGCAGCGACAAAACGGCCGGCTTTTACTGTCTGTAGATTGACCCGTAGCCGGACCTACGGCGTCATATTCGCCTACCCGCCTACAATCGAGCATGCGCTTTGCATTTCGCAGGTGCCCCTGGCCCTGCTTTGTTGCTTCAAGCGAAAAGGAACGAACATAAAGTCTTATCAAGTGTTCGAAGCGCGTGAAATCTTTGGTGCTCTTTCTGGAATCAGATCGAGCCAATGCATGAGAGAGCCTAGAAAATAATTTTCGTTGTAGGCGATATGTTACAGTAGGTGCGGATGAAATCGTTAGGGAAAGACAGTTGAATGAAGACTGAAAAACGATCTAACATGTGATCTGATTCATGTTGGACCAGTCTGAACAACTTTTTTTGGAGGATTCCAGTTTAGAATGAACACTTGTAAACAATTGCCCCAGAATAACCTCATTTAAGGAGAAGGATCTGCCTCGAGACGTCGTCATAACTTATAAGATATACGACGTGGTTAAAAAATGTTCAAGTATCGCTTCAAAAACGACCCATTTCGAATAAAATAGAACTTCTTACTGCTAAAGCTTTTGACTATCCGGGAATTGTGCGTTATAGATCTACGTCAAGTAATTGTATTGTCATCAAGATACTTCAGGGAAACTGTTCAGTGCTGAACTCTAAGAAAGTGAATCGTTAATTTTTCACCACAAACTTACGCCTCGCTATTTGGATCATGTTCCTTCACAGCAATCCTTCAATGCCTGTGATGCCCTGTGTGTATCAAATATAGTCCCCTGTGATTTTTATTTCCGTTAAAGGAGATAAAAAATTTAAAAGAAAAACTTTGAGAGATCAATCTAATCCAAGAATTTAACCTCTACGTTTAATTCCAAAATTGTTTTAAAAAGCCCAAAAAAAAATTGTGATACAAAAGCATTGAATCCGGCGGGGACGACTCTAAGTAGTAAAAAGACAAGTGAAATTCAGACGATTGAGGCATATTCCGTTACTGAAACTTTGAATGTTCATTACTTACTCAACCCAGTAGCGTCAACTAGGTATTCAACGTAAACGGTACCGGATGTTCCACCTAATGACCAATTCATTGCTGCGAAAGCCCTTATGCGTCCATGTACAAAACTTGTAAATTATGCCGTTTAAATAGGTTTGTAACAATGCAGTATTTTAAAACTTAGCTATTCTATTATCCGAAAGAGATAGGACACACTAGCTAGCGTCTGAGTGTCGCAATGGTGCATTAATACCTTTAGCTTATATATAGAATTATCTAACTGATTTTAAAGTACTAATAATTTAGAAGGCTACAATGAAATTCAATGGGCAATCTTTGAAGGGTATGGTTCTGGAAGGGTAGTTTTTGGAACTTGGAAACTTCCCTGTTGCTAAAGGACAAGAAAATTGGCAACGATTGCAGATAATAAACGCAAACAATTATATGTACTAAACGTTTAAGCCGAAGCTTGCCTGTCTATACGGAAGGAACTATTACAGGCGCGTCAGTAAGGCGGGTACGCCTCAGCTAACGCTGACGGAATGTTCTCTTGACAAAATCTTCTATGTTGATTTTCCATTTTTATTGTAAATAGCGTCCTAACGGTAGCATTGCCGACTGCTGAAGCTGTGAGCCATTCATGCGTAATCTAAGAACATCGGGGAATAGGTGGTAGACGCTTCCCTTCTAATGCTTATTCGGATAGATGCTATTGGTGAATGTTTTCGATATGGCCATGTGTGATGTCTAAGTCACCACACCAAGACTCTAAAAGGGGCAAAAGCCGCGCTTGGTACGCCGCCTTTCTTCCGTCAGACCTCTCAAACCTTTCAGAGTCATGCTACTTCAAGTTGGCGGGACAGAGTTGATCTTTCATAAAGGTAACGGGAGCTACCCAGAAGTAGCGCAACAGTCCTACCTAGCTGTTGCCGCCGCGGCAACGGCAGAAGCCAGGCAGGAAAAGACGGACGAAAGGGGCTGGTTGGCGACGGGCGACGAGTTTACATTTAAAATTCAAAGTAGCTTATCTTATCTTATCAGAGCAAGTCAAAGCCGGGCAAAGCAGATGGCGGCCGCAGCGACGGCGGCGGCGGCGGCGGCGGCGGCCGTCGTTTATACTCTTGTTGTTGCGTGGGTTGTGGTTTGGCTCCGCCAGCCCAGAGACACCTCCTCGTCTTCACTTAGCTAGAATAGGAATGAAAAGATGCACAAGCAGCGGCAGTTACAGCCGCGCTGCTGGACTCCTGAGCAGCCACTCTGTCCGTTTCGCCGTCGGCCCGTGCGTCACTCCTCTTAGGCTCACGTGGGCATGACGAGCGGAGGGGGGCTGTGAGTATATGCCTGTATATTCTTGCGAATGTGTGCATGCATCCGATCCCGCTTACGACTGCACCGCCGCCAAAGTGAATTGAACGGAAGAGCAGAAAAGTGCCTGCTCTGAGAAGTCATATGGCTCTGCTGAATCTGCTGTTGACAGACTGAAAAGGGCTCCGATATAAAGCTACGATTCACCTCGCTCAGTCCAGCTATGACTGGTAGTTTGAGTCGTCTATCTATAAACAGCACTGACAGATGATAATAGGGAATGGCTTTAGTCTTAAGCTATAATTAATTCTTGCAGACCTGTCGTTCTTTGGCGAATAAACAACTCTGATTGCTGTATTAACCGTTACAACCACACAACGTTTGAATATAAAAAATCAATAACTATCTACAGCACTAAGTTGCGCGCGCAATTATTCTAACTTGACTCAGTTTTAGGCTTGATTTCCAACTTTAACAGAACACCAGTAGCGCTCATATTCATACGTCTAAATAGGCCATTGAGTCATTGATATGCATACGCGTAACTTATAGCCCAAAAGAAGGATTTCCGTTCATATTCATCTATATTGCGTGTTTTTTTTTTCTATAAATCGATAATTACAATGCTTAATCAGGGATCAGAAGTGGTACACTGGATATACTGTGTTATTAGTAGAACAACGATATTTCGTTGTATGCACAGAATTACAGCTCAGCCCAGGTCAAGAGGACAAATAACTACGTATAATTTACATCCTTTTTTTATTATTGTTTCTTGCAAGGTTTCCAAAGCAGGCGCTGAATTTTATCTTGAATGTTGGTCCGACTGTTGTATCGTCGAACGTACGTCATTCTCAGAATTATACCAATAGCGATGGTCATTACGTTGTGTTGAAGGGACC